CCGTAGCAAGACGCGTCCGTACTTCATTGCCAAACATTTGATCTAGTTCAAAATTGGGTTCTAGTTCGTGTTTGGCTAGGTTGAAATTGGAATTATAATTGGGTGCTGCTGAACTCCAGTCAAGGCCTTTAAATCGGTCATTCGCGATGCATAAAAATCTTTTGCAAGCGTAAATAAAGCTGACGCGTCACCCGGTAACAAAAAAGGCAATTTATAATAGGCATTCACTACAATACTATTTGACTAAAACATTCAGTCATACATTTCAACATTCTAAAATACAAAATCAATGTACTAAAACATTCGGCACGGTCACCTTTGCTTTCCGACCCTCCCCTCCTCAACCTCCGCGCGTTTTCCAAACACCTCTTCACACTCTCAAATAAAACTACAGTTGCTGCCTCAGACAGACCCAAAATCATTGCCTTCAACTCTTCGCTTGTCCTCTCATATCCAACTCACCTCCCGCATTCAGAATCACCTCCATCATAGACTGAAGCTCTCACTCATACGCCCCACATTCCATCACCAAGTGCTCCACAGTTTCCTTCTTATTCCCATCACACTTAAAACATTTATCTTCCCTCCTCTCATTCCACCTGTGCATCCATTCACACCGAGAGCCCCTGCCCTAACACAAAACAAAAAGTCCCCACTTCTACTACCATTATACATAATTCATAGTTTGGCATTGCTTTCATCTGATAAAGTTTTAAAGTGTTCTATCCCTCCATTTATTGCTTCAACACCTTCACGCCCATGGTTTTTTACCCGTTTCTTCATTTTGCTTCTACACTGTTTTTCCTCCAACTCTATCTCAGCCGCACCCCGTACTGTCACGACCCATTCGTCCTTTATCCCAGCGGGCCCTTGGCGCACCCATGCTTCATGCATACCTCATTTACGCACCACTGCCCGACATCTACGTGCCCATTTGCTCACCTTTGTGTTACACATAAACATATTTCGTGCCCAACGTTCATCGTCCATTAGTTCCAGTCTCACTTTATACCTCAATTAATACTGATCTCATTCTTCTCAACCGTAATCCAACTCCTATATAGGATTTAATCTCGCCACTCTATTCTGTTTCCATACTCGGTCACTCCCATACTCGGTCACTCCCATACTCGGTCATACAGTGCAACACACTTTCTATTTCTTCGCTATTTTCACCCATAATCACAGCATCATCAGCCTACAGAAGCATTTTTAACCTTTCGCCGCCCACACGCACACCAACATCCATCCTGCTCACCCTCATGGCCACCTCTTTGTGTAGAGGTTGAAGAGAAGCGGAGACAATATATAGCCTAGTCGAGCACCCTTCCGCCTCCTCGCGCAGCCCGTCTCTACATATCTCCAAGTCTATATTTTGCTCTAGTATTCATACTGCTTCTCACGAGCCTAGTATTTTTTTATTCGTTCAAATTTTTTCAGTGACCCGGTAGTTCTCTGTCAACCCGGTCATACGCTTTTTCTGTATCTAGAGAAGCCAAGTACACTTTCTTCCCATCTATTTTCATTCTCCCGATCAGTTAATATTATCTTCTGCTCTTCTGTCACATCTAAAACCATTCTGCTTTTCGCCAAGCACACTTTCGCACCTCATGAATCTTTTCATCCGCTCATCCGCTTGGTATTAAATTTTTAGCGTACAAAAAGGCTCACACTGAGAATCCTTATTTTATTGTAAGAAGTTAACGTACTTGCGGGAATTGCAAAATCTGTTTCTTGGCTTTGAAAAAGTAGAGCGATGCCATTGCGGGCCATCAAGTTAAAAAGTTGTTTTAAAGTCTACGGAGTTCACGCCTGAAATTTAACTATAAAATCATATGGATCTGATTGGTAACGCAAATCAGTTACATAAACAACTTCATTATAAGATTCAGTTCGCATCAACATATATATGGCCAAAAATGTGTAAAATTTTCAGACAAGTAATTTTATTCGCAGAATTATTGCCTGGAAAGATAAAATGGCAAGATAAGATCAAATTGTACAGTAAAGTTAAGCATTCTGTAAAATAGTCCTCGCTCAATTTCCTTCCCTCAAATATTTAAACTAAAACAATTAATAAAAATGGGCATTGCCATCGAATTATTTGATAGCACGACTGAATCCCTCAACGTATAAAATTATTTTATCGTAATTCAATCGGCGTACAATTAAAATTAGATTAATCGAAAAATAGTATAATACAATTAAATATATTAAACTAATCACGTTTTTAGTGATCAACCGTAAGTTAATTATCACTTAAGAGAATAAGCCTTAACAAACGGCTGCGTCCGGAGTGAATGCTCCATGGCGCAGCACTCCGTGAGACCGTTAATCCATCGAAGAACAGAACACTGGCTGGAGCAGCGTTGCCAGATGGTATATTTCTATACCAGATTTCGCAAATCTGGTATTTTCAGAAGGTGTCTGGTATGAATATTTCAGATCTGGTATATTTGCCTAAATCTGGTATTTTTCTGGTATTTTCTGACTTGCTACAAATTTACTGCATTAATTAAGTTCCACCTCTGCAGCTGAAGTTTGAACTTCCTCCAGCGTTGGCGTGGATTATATAGATTACCTTCAGAGCGGCGCGACTAGAGGTTTCCCGCCATTTTTGGAACTGCAAGTTTACCGCTTGATAAAATAACCCCAATTTAATTGTTAACATTTAACAAAAGTGCTTAGTGCAATATGAGCACGAGAGTGATTATCCTCGATTGATTACTGATCAGTGATGAACTGATGATATGGCCTAGGACGAGTGAGGTTGTCGAACCGATCTCTGCGACGCAAGCTCCACCATTTTTGTTTGGTGGTTATGAATTCTAGAGTGCCACTTGAATTCTGGGGTGCCATTCAATATTTCACTGATCTTGACAATTATCATCCATTCAGGGAACTGGCTGCCTACTGCATCACTTGTCTACTTTGACTTGTCTCCAAAGCAGTCGTGGTGCAAGTGTTTTCACAAGTCACCTATGTGAAAAACAAGCAACGGAATAAAATTTCAACTACGGTACTGGAGTCCCTTATCCGGACCAAAAGCTATCTGCTCATCCGCAACAATTAAGTGCTCACACCCGAAATGTTAGATTAATGCAATATGCAAGCATGTACGAAAATAAGCAAAATGAAGATGACCTGTTTCCGTGGCTTGCTCATGTTGAGCGAAGAGGAAAAAGTGCCACAATGACACTGATAAAAAAAGGAAAAAGTGTCAATGTAATCAAACACAGGAAAAGAAAAGTGTCAAAATATTCCAAACAGAGGGGAAAAAATATAACGTGTTAAATTTGGCTAATTATCGTCAAGCCAGATAACTGCACAGTACATAAGATAATTTTTTTCTAATCAACGTTTCTGACGAATAGTTGTATTAAATTTGGAGGTATTAGTCTGTTTTTGAGCGACAGAATTTCTGGTATATTTCTGGTATTTTGAGCTAGGCAATCTGGTATTCTCGCCAAGAAAAAACCTGGCAACACTGGGCTGGAGCATTGGCAGACTGGCAGTACTGCAGCTGGCATTGGCACACCGTGCCTTTGGCTCAAAGGCATGGCCCATAGTACCGATGATAGTAGAACTGGTACGGCTTTTGGTGCACCTTACGGAGTTACGGTTACGTGGTGTGCGACTTCGTATCTCTTATGCTGAGTTTAGCTGAGCATTTTTAAACAGCGTTTGCTACTTTGCTTGTTTAAGAACTGAATTTGTGGCCGCCGGCTGCGCACCCAATGGCCAATGCATTTATGATTTAGCTCTTCATGGCTCATGGGCATGATGGGCATGGGCTCATGGCCTAACTTCATCTTCGTGGGCTCATGGCCACTGAAATGCCTAAGCTGGGCCATTCTAATTTAATTAGTACTAAATACCAGCAGCAAAGTATCAGACTATCAGTTGCAGTATCCCTGCTAGAATTCTCAAATTCTCTTAGCAAAATTTACTGAGGTCTGAGTGTTCTGCTCATGCATGGCAGTGATGGGCTGAATCCCGGCTGATGGCACTGATAGCAGCATGGGTCCCATCCCATGGCCATGGAAAACTAATGGTTAAAGAAATTGGCGTTTCTTGTCTAGCCAGCATGGCAGCATTATCATACATAACATAGTGATGTCGGCTCTGAAGTGTAGGCCTGATGTGGCCTGTCGCCGATTCTTTTCCATTTCGTGCCTTGTTCATAGATCTAAACTCGTGTCATTTGACCGGATCTTTTCATGACTGGCGATAGTTTGAAGAAGCTACTAGACTTCCACCGGGTTCGATAAGGAGCTAGGCATCGCACAATTTTGATTGAACTGCACTAACATTGAACCTTTCACTGAAATCGTTTCGGTACAAAATTCGCGAGATAAGTCAAACCGGCATAGTAAGAAGTGAGAAAGTTGGGACCCGCAAACACTACGTGCGTCCTCGATCACTGCCAGAACTCAACTCAACTCAAAAGATATTGGTTTAAATCTTGAGTAGCTAGATGAGGAAATTGAAAGTGAACAGATTTAAAAAATCTGTGGTTTGTCACTATGTTGAGTTGGTGTGAGTAAAGCACAGAAAAATTCTCCCTTTAGCACTTTAGGGCTGTGACTAGAGCTTTCCAACAATTTCTGGAACCGCAAGATTCCCGCTGGATGAATTAGGTAGCTAGCCTGCTAGGTATGGTCATTTGCTGACATTTAGTCAATTAGGCTAGGCTACCTGCTATGGTCCTATCTAATTGTTAAGAAAAGTGCACGTCAGCACAATGGGGCTGGGCCATGGGGCCACAAGTTTCCAAATGTGAAATGTATTAAAAATTTGTCAGGCTGGAGCATTGAGATTTCAGAAACAAGTAGGAAAATTCCAATCCTGGACTGTGAGTGAGAAGTATGATCAAGTATGCAATTTATTTATTTAGGTCCATTGCAATTTATTTTTTTTCAAATAATTTGAAATTTTCTCTAAGATTTATTGCATTTTTTCATTCATTACTAATTAGTGAATAGTGAATAGCAGAATAGACTTTTCAACTTATCACTTATGTTTTATATTTTGTTCTGAGCCAGTTGAAATGTCAAGTCAGTTGAAATGTTTTTTATTTTTGTTAGCTTTGAAAATTACTGCTTATGCTTCAGAAAATCCTCCAAACATCGTCTTCATTGTGGCTGATGATTTGGTGAGAACTGGGATTAGGCCTAGTCTAGATTCCACTTCATAATCTTCATGCATTGCTACATAACTTATAATTATACTATTATTTATATATTACTGATAACATGATTTACTTTATGTAAGTGCATCTTGACCATAAAATTCAATGAATTGATATGTTTACTTATTTATAATTATATATATATGTCATATTTTCATAATTTATTCTGAAAATTTATGCAGTAACAATGTATACTATACTTGCAGGCTGCAGCAATAGCAGCATTTTCTCCCATAAAAAATTTACTATTAAATAATCTCCTGTGAAACTCTCCTGTCTGTCCTGAGGCTAATTTTACTATAGTGAAATTTTTCCAGGGTTGGAATGATGTTGGTTTTCATGGCTCGCGTGAGATACCCACACCAAACATTGATGCCCTGGCTTATTCTGGAGTAATTTTGAACAACTATTATGTGCAACCCATCTGCACACCATCTCGTTCTGCAATCATGTCTGGCTTGCATCCTATTCATACAGGTAAAACTATTAAGACTGAAGAATATGTAAAACCTGTGTTTGAACTTTGTATTAATCTGGGTTCAGAAATAAAAGCTTGATTGATCCAGACAACATTTCAGTGCTTTTCTAGTTATTTTTCTGTGTAGAACTTTTATGTTTCACTCTTGGTTCTAATAATGCCATTTGTTGATGCAACATTTAGTTTATTCCTTTTGTATAAAAAATATAAACCTTGGCTAACTATTTTTTTTTCCGTCAATGCTATAAGCTAGTCAATGATTGACATTTATTCATTATTTTAGTTTAATTTAACATTTTGTGTTGACTGTTGAGTGTGCCTCAATTTGGTTTTAATTCAGTAATAAAAAAAAAAGTTGCATCTTGGTTCAGTAGTACAAGTATAAAAATCAATTATTATGAATGGTATTGTTTAGGCAAAATTACAGATTTTTAATTAATTAAAATCTCCAATAGAGAAGTTTTATTGCCATAATTTTGACTTGGGTATGGGTCATGTCTTTCATGCATAGCTCATACCGTCAACCGGGGCTACTCGGGACAGGCGGGGCTACTCGGGACAGGCCTAGGCCTATGACACGGCGTAAAACTTGTAGTAGCAAAACTAATTGGAACATCGCAAAACTAAAAATAGTGGTGTAAACGTAACTATTTTTCCTATCTATCTAGTATAAAGGAAGTCGAAAAATACTACATTTACTTGCTTTGAAAAATTCCTGAAAAAAATGGTGAAAAACTATGTTTTGTAAAGTTACAACTGCTAAGGTATGTAGCAAAAAAAATATAATCTAATTCCAAAAAGAAATGGCAGCCATTTCCGCACGGCGGGGCTACTCGGGACACCCCCCCCCGGGGCTATTCGGGACACCCCCAAAAACGCATTAAGGGTAGAACCTCAGTTAGCAAAGGCTTCAATTATGAAAAAAATTTATTAAAAACAAAGAATATTGATCACATTTTCCTTGCTCAGCGAAAAAAATTTCACTTATGGAAAAATTAGTGCATCATCAGTCATCTTAAAATTGTGCATATCATGTCATGTATAGAATTGTGCACCAGGCATTATAGAATGAAAAGTAATTGACCTAAACTATGATTTATTTCTCCAAAAGATAGGCTGGTTGTCACTAAAACATTCCTTTCAGGAAGTTAATGATCACGGGAAGTTAATGATCACGCGAAGTTAAATACCATGTGAGGTTAATGATCACGGGAAGTTAATGACCACGTGAAGTTAATGATCACGGGAAGTTAATGATCATGCAAAGTTAATGATCACGTGAAGTTAATGATCACGCTAAGTTAATGATCACGTGAAATTAATGATCACGTGAAGTTAATGATCACGCGAAGTTAATGATCACGGGAAGTTAATGATCACGGGAAGTTAATGATCACGCGAAGTTAATGATCACGTGAAGTTAATGATCACGCGAAGTTAATGATCACGGGAAGTTAATGATCACGCAAAGTTAATGATCACGGGAAGTTAATGATCACGCGACGTTAATGATCACGCGACGTTAATGGTCAGGCGAAGTTAATGATCACGGGAAGTTAATGATCACGCGAAGTTAATGACCACGCGAAGTTAATGACCACGTGAAGTTAATGACCATGCAAAGTTAATGATCACGGGAAGTCCCAATTAAAATGATGTGAAATTAGGAGCCTTCCTGTAAGCTTACAGATAGGAAAAAAATGTTATAAGGCTGCTGATATGAAGCTTGCAATGGACAAGGTTGTTGTAAATGATCAATGGCATGTTCATGGATACGGTAATATCACATCAATAATAGGATAATGTCATCAATAATACGGTAATTAATGTATATGGCAATATCATATCAATAAAGGAAAAACAAGTAAAAATCACAGAAAATGTCATTTATTCTACCTCTACATCATCTATAATGAAAGAGGAGGACTTCAGAGTACTGTTAGTAATGGATGAGTACACTCTGCATGCTTCAAATGTTTTGAAATGAAGTTTTATTCCCGTTGTCCCGAGTAGCCCCAACCGACGGGGCTACTCGGGACAATCTCTATTTTGCATCTGGCACCTTACGAATAGCATATGGAATTTTTTTGACAACGCCATTTGATAGCCCTGCCAATCAGCTATAAAATGAGACTAAACTTGTTTATGAAATGTTTCATCGTAAGAAGTTATTAACTGTTATTTAAAACTAATCGTTCAAATCTGTCCCGAGTAGCCCCGGTTGACGGTACTTATTCATTTAACTGCGTAGTCATAAGTTTTTATTTGGGGATTTCGATCAATCACAGCAGTTCCCAGCACTGAGGGATTCCTGTATAATTGAATGTGTTGTATATCTAATTATAAATCAATATCCTCTGGACAACAAATAACCAAAACCAATAAAATGTATGCAGTGGCCACACTATCAATATCTAAATAAGTTTCAATGTTTCAAAAGAGGTCTTGGTACATTGATCATTCAGCCTCATACTGAGACTTTTTGTTAATGCTTGTGCAATAATTTTCCTCACTACCACGAAAATAGGCATTTTTAATATCTCTCGGGAAAGAGCTACAAGTTCTTGCTATTTTGTTTTAAAAAATTGCCAAATAAATACCTTACCTATGTACAATAAAAATACCCTTTAAATAAATACAGTAGGTATAGGTACAGGTACCCTTTAATTGTATTTATAATACAATTTAGTACCCTTTAATACCCTTTAAATGGTATTATAAATACCCTTTAAATAAATACAGCATAAATTTTCAATGCGCGCAAACAGGATTGGTAATAAATAGTCAGATTGCCCCAGCAAATTTAATTCACGGCAGGATATAATGCCTACAATTGACCAGTAATTTTTCACCAGTTATACACAATTGCTTGTGTCGTCCCTTGTTTGACTATAAATTAAATAAAAATATTCTGTTTACTGCCATCAAAACCCAAGTGTATAATGGCAAAGCATGGTGATTGTCAAGTTGCCTAAAACCCAAACAATTAAATATTTCTGCTTTTGATTGCGCACTCCTCTTTGAACACTTTTTCATGATGATGCATGACATAAGCTGCTTATTCTAAGGTCATGAGGTGTTTTTCTTTAGACATTGAGGAAATTATATCCAGGTCTGCAGCATGACGTAATCTATGAAGCATCTCCTTATGGCCTACCAATTAATTTGACTTTGCTACCTGAGTGGCTGGGAAAACTTGACTACCAAACTGAAGCTGTGGGCAAGTGGCATCTTGGTCTCTGTAATCATAGCTATCTTCCATCAAACCGAGGATTTGATCACCACTATGGATACTGGGCAGGACACATGGATTATTATGATCACACTGTATTCATGGAGGTGCGATGGCGTGACTCAATGTTCTGCAATGTGGAGTTTGCCTCGAAGCTTTTTCTGTTTTGTTCCTAAGAAATTGATTTGATTTCAAGCCTTATATACCGTACTTACTGGGAGAGCAGAGAAAAGCTGGACAACGTGTCAAATGTATGGAATGGATCTTAGTGGTATTAGAGTGATGAACCATGTCCCACCATCCTTTTAAGAATTATGTGTAGTGGAAATTATCATTCTTTGGTGATCTTTCAAACAGAACAAGACTTATTTTTTCAAGGAAACGTGTGAATTTGACTTTCTGATTTTTAATAACCATTGCAGATTCCTTGGGGGCTGTGTCATTGATTGATAGTTTTGTCTCATAAGAAGAAATTTTGGCCAAATTTTTATCTTTTTCCTATGTTCTGTGCTGTGCTTTTTACCATGGGAACTTCTAAGCAATAACAACAATTTGCTATGACTTCATTTTTCTTTAGATATAAGTCATCTCTAATATATCTTACTGCTGAGGAATTGAAAGTGATTGAAAATCACATAATAATCTAATTATGATAAGATGACATGGAATTATATGAAACTATTTAACTGATGATGAACTCATTTCAAAAGTGACAATTGGCTAAAAATATTTTTTAAAAGAAAACAAAATTAATTACAGACACTAGATTCTGTTTCAACATGTTTTCTTTGTTTATTAAATAATTATTGCAGGCTTACAGCACTGTCCAATAAAAGCTTCTAGTCCGTATGGTCTACCACTGGACATGAAGATATTGCCACAGTATATGAAGGACTCAGGCTACATTACACGAGCTGTTGGAAAGTGGCACCTTGGTTTCCATCACAAAGAATTTACTCCTACATTTCGAGGTTTTGAGTCGCATTATGGATATTGGTCCAACAAAATCGACTATTTCAACCTCACAGCTGATGAAGATGGCGTGAGATACTCAAATATTTGTGCTTATCCCTGTCAAGTGTTTGGAAATAATCAATTCATCAACATCCTGGATATTTTCTCACTGGTTTCTTTAACCTTGGCCTATGAATAAAGTCTTATGACTTTCTATCAGGATAATTTGGCAGTCATTCAATATTCCTAGGTTATTTTATTTTATAAAATACATGTATTTCAAACCCTATGAAGAATATCTCTGAAATATGAATGTGAGCAATGAAAAATATCAGCACCTTTCCTAAATCTGTTTGATACACAAATCGTCGTGATTCAACAAATTTGATGTGTACTGTATGAGACCAGATTAAGACTCTATTTAGTGACAATTAAGATGTAAAAATTCAATATAAGATTTTTAACAATTCTCATAAGTAAATAAGTTTAGAACCATTGGACTAATCCCCTTTCAAGATCCTCAAGAAGAAGGCCATGGGAGTGTTGAAACTGTGTATGACCCTCTAACAATTAGAGATCAGTTACATAAAAATATTCAGTTACCCCCACCCTAAATACAACCAACATGACACATTACTTCTCTTTGTTGTAGCTTTTTTCTTCTCTTGCACTTTTGCAAAGTTGCAAATAGTTTTTATAAAATTTATTTTATTTTCTCTCAATTTAAGTAAAAGATTACGTTGAGTGTCGATTAATTCTTCTCGCATTTGTATGCATACCGGTGCTAATTGTTCTTCTTCATTGATGTGCCTGGTGATTATCTTGTATAAATTTTATTACCACCTGGCAATTAATGTATATTATTTCTGCTATCAATTACCAACTTCATTTGGTCAATTATTTGCCCCCACATATATAATTTTTGGCTTTCCAAGCTAAACCCATGGAAAGCCATTAGAATTTTTATTCTAATGTAAGCATTCAACTATTTATTTGTCTATCAATGATCAGCCGCACCAATTTTCTCCCATATGTGGGACCTACTTTGACCGTGGTTCCCATTTATGTTCCTGGCAAAGTGATTGTGACTTCCATGCATTTTTTAACTTGACTTCCTTAACTCAACTTAATATTAGCTTAACATCAACTCAACTTATAACTTTTTCCAACTTTAACTTGTTCCTAACCTACTGAAGCTCTGATGTTTACCATTATTGCTTTATAATATTAAGTAGTTCATTTGTAATCCATCGCCTTTGTTGGACCCTTTTATCTTCATATGGTGACTTGATTTGTTTCCAAATTATCTTTACAATGAGTCTTACCCTGTTAACAAACATCTCATTATTATCCAACATTTTTGAATTAAAGGAAACTAAATTAACTAACAAATGGAGTACCTATGTATTGATAACTTCTTGCCTCTGATTGTGATAGTAAAAATTATCGGTAAGCATAAATATGAGTTGTTTATGATCAAATTAGTTCTCTTGATAATTTCACTTGAAATCTCATAAGAACATGATCATATTGTTACTAAGTAATTTTCAGCCTACACTCTGGGCAAGTTTGTAAAGGAATATGTCCTGATGGAATTCTTGTTTTACAGCGCATGTGGGGCTATGACTTCCGTCGGGACATGAACATTGATCATGATGCATATGGTGAGTTTTGGCAACAATAAAATATAAGGTCAGGACAGTGGCACGTAATTGTGAACTATTTCAATGATTTATTATATATCATTTATAATTCCCAATTCTGATGCAATTGAGGGTGAGTAATTTGTGTGACATTAAGTTGCTCATGTAATTTTTCTTTTCATTTTTTAGAAGAACTTCCGTGCCAAAATTTTAATCAAGTTTCTAATTTAAGTAATGTCAGATACGGTAGTGAACATTATCAACTAATTTAAATTTATGATTTAATTGTGCTCCACGGTATTAATGGGACAGAGTGAATTTTCTTATACCCCAAATCATTATTGTAAGTGGTTATATTGTCTCTTTATATTGTGGTGGTATGTGCCTCGTGCAGGTATCTATGCTACTGACCTGTTCACCACGGAGGCCTTGTCGATCATCAGCTCGCACAATACGAGCAGGCCGCTGTTCCTGTACCTCGCGCACTTGGCGGTGCACTCGGCAAACCCATACGCCCCTCTGCAGGCACCCCAAGCCTATGTTGATCGATTCTCCTACATCAAGGATGAGAGGAGACGCAAGTTTGCCGGTCAGATATTGCAGCTTTCATTGTTTCAAAAAGGGAATTTTAAAATTATAATATAGAATTGGGAATTTTAGTACCTATATCATTCCAGCGCTTAAATATGTCACTATTGATATCTTTGTCCTAATAGCTTGATTGCAACAGTGAGTGATATGGTTTGAACATTTGAGAGCAGTATAAAAAAATTATAAGGGATTGTGCTGTAGCTAATCTGAACAATTTTTTACAGCTGTGAATATGAAAAATTACAATATTATATCTGTTTTAATGTTAATGACAAAGCTTACAACAACCGAGTCTCATGAAAACTAGAGCTGTATATATTTAAATTATTCGAATTTTCCATTGACTAGGGATGCTCACCAAGCTGGACGAGTCAGTGGGTGCTGTGGTGACGGCGCTGCGAGATCGCAAGATGTTCGACAACACCGTGATCGTCTTCACCTCCGATAACGGCGGACCAGCGGGAGGCTACAATAACAACGTCGCCTCCAACTGGCCGCTCAGAGGGGTGCGTACTGATGGTGGTAGCTGGAGTGGTGATGGTGGTAGCTGTAGTGGTGATGGTGGTAGCTGTAGTGGTGATGGTCGTAGCTGTAGTGGTGATGGTGGTAGCTGTAGTGGTGATGGTCGTAGCTGTAGTGGTGATGGTCGTGGATCTAATGGCATGGCGAGTGATGACGTGCTAACGTACCTGTAGCGGCCGGTTTCTTGTCTGTGATTGGTGGGTTTAGCTTGGAAAGCCGTCAGTTATTGCTAGTTTATTGAGTTTTTTCGATAAGATTCTTCAATCTATTGGTTTTAAAAAGTTATATAAATTTTGACGCTCGAAGTTTATTTTGTATATAAGAAACTGCTGTCCAAGACGCTTTTGTTCAGTAGATAATGAACACTACAGGTGAAGGCATCGATGTGGGAGGGCGGGGTGCGTGGATCAGCCTTCGTGTGGGGGCCGGATTTCATCCGCCAACCTCCAGGCACCGTGTCTGATCAACTCTACGCCATTGAGGACTGGCTTCCCACACTCTACGCCATCGCTGGTGACTTGAAAATATATACTTTACGCGTACAAATATATTTATGATGAGTTGTTGGTGAATGCAAGTTTTAGCAAAACCGTTAAAAAGATATTTTCATTGTATTCACTATATTTTACTAAGATAAGATTAGCGTTATCACTATTTTATACATTCATGCATTCCAATTATAATAATGTAAACAATGCGTTCCCATGCGTTAAACCATCCATTAATTTACTTGTAATGCGAATCGGGAGTCTATTGAGGCAACAAGATGGAAGTGAATGGCGCGAGTGCAACGTGAAGCACCGTTAACGAGGCTCTGTGTACATGCACAGGAGGCAATGTGAGTCACCTACCGCCGCTGGACGGCATCAACATCTGGCCAAGTGTGAGCGCTGGCGTGCCGGTGTCCCGCCAGCATCTCCTGCACAGCATTGACCCCGTCTTCCACGGCGCCGCCGTCAGGAGCGGCGACTGGAAGCTTTTGTTCAGTGAGCTAATAACGCAGCCCGATCATATTGAGAATTTTATTTTAGTGAGCACTAATTACGTCTTTAATAAAGAAGCTGCTGAATTTCTTTTCAGTTAGTTGGCTGTAAAGTTTCTTTTTATTTGTTCACTTTCTTTGTTCAGTTTCTTTTTCTTTGTTCACTTGAAATAAATTATGAGATAATTGATAAACCTTGAAGGCAACCACTTAACTTAGCTGTGTAATCTTGTCCTGCTCAATTTACGTGCAATCAAAACTTTGTGTCCATCAGACGCGTCAGGCGATGGGGCGTCTTGGGACAAGTGGTTTGGTCCTTCGGGCCGCAACGAAACCGCCCCTGAAACTGAATTGTCGCTTCTAATTCAGAAAATAAAGGACAGTCCCGCTGGGGTCGCGGTGCTGGAGAAAAATCCAGACGCCCTCAACAACATCACACTCACCAGGAACGCGGCTATGGTGGGTCATAAGGAACGACTTCCAAGTCTTCTAAACGTCTTGAAAATAAATATTATTGTATGCATATCATGGTACATTAGAATGTGTAAACATCATAGTATTGATTGGTAATAATATTATTGGTATGAAAAGATTTTTATATCATTATAGTGAGCTTGATGCGACTCAAACTCATTGCTTAAGGACGGTGTTATTTTTTTGTGAACATGGAATTTTAATATTGACCAGCTACCTTCATATATTAATCGCGTTTGGAGCGTTCATGTCACTACAGTAAAAATACTGAATGGGTTCTAAATGTCAAGTTTGAGTTATCCCAATTTCACCATGCCTAGATGGCGAAACATTTCTAAACGATTGATTCCTTGTTTTCTATTTTATCTCGGGCAATCGCTGACAGGGTCCTTAGTCTGTATTTAGTATTGATTAATCTCCTGTAATAAATATGAATTCGTTCAGACTCAGCTTTCTATTTAGCAAGGTAAAAATGCTTGGTCAATAATGTTTTTTTGACCGTAGCCTGTCGAGTTGATTATTTATCAAACGTCAAATTTATTATCAAACTTTTCATCCAACTCTCATTTTTAATGGATACATTAAAAGCTATGCATTAAATGAATTGTTTTAAATTATGCACCTTCAGATTCATGATTCTTTTGTTTGGGAAACGAGACTCTTAGGTATAGCACAAGCCTCTAAAAACAGCACATGCCAATTTGAGTCGCAAAGAAAGCATTAGTATTTTGTCTACAGTCATTCAGGTCCTATCACAATGACATGAAATAAAAAAAGTGACCCCAGATATCTCCTTCATGTCAAAATACATTTAGAGTTTTGCAATTTTGTCTAAATTCTTGAGTGATGTTATAGCGTTTTTTGTCATCATTGCTAGTGAAATAAACTTCCCCGATTTTTTTCGTACCTAGCTGTTTTATGTTAGTCCTACTTAAACTTCATGTTTACCGTTAATTTCAACTCTAGTGTTAACTGAACATGTGTTTATTTTTAATTTTGCATAATTCAGCTTATAGTTGAAAAAAACTATCAATTCAAGCCTGAAAATCGTAGAAGCGTCAAATTTCAAAAATGCCAAGTCCATTTTCCAATGGTTAGGAGAAAAAAGAAAATAAAATTATTTTTTGATTATTGCACCGTATTTGGTCTTGAAAGGGTCTGTGTAGCAAGTTTTTTGCAGGACATTTATTGTTGATTTTGAAATTTACTTGTTCATTTTGATAACATTTTGTGGCCGTCCATAATTTTGCAGATAAATTGCACGGCCGCGCCCGATGAACCGAGTTTCGTATGCCGAGGTCAGAACATCAGCGACGCTTGCCTGTTCCATATTTCGTCCGACCCTTGTGAGCTGAAAGACGTCGCTTCAGAACAACCTGACGTAGTGAAGATGCTGCTTCAGCTGTTTCTGCAGTATAACAGCACTGCCGTGCCCATACTCAACAAGGCTTCAGATCCCAACGCCGACCCTAAGTTTTGGAACTACAACTGGATTAACTGGCTTGACTTTCCACCGCCACATGGTGTAAATGCAACTGAGACTGCAGTCTTTGGACAGCCAAATAAATTTTTGTAATGGATTTTATCCTGGCGATGTTAGGTTTTCTTTAGCTAAAATTGCTGGTGGATTAACTTTGTTGAGTTTCACGATATTTAACTGGGAGCGTTTGTTTTTTTTCTTATATGCGATGCTCCTATAGAGCTTAAAAAAAATCTGGTAGAGTTTTGTGTTATCTATGTTGGTAAAAACCTCACCAATAATAGTGAGGTTTTTGTTTATAATTATACAATTAAAGGAACCGTATGTTTGGGGCTGGTTCTGCTTCCTTATTAAGTTTTACTTGTGGGGCCAAGTAAATGTAGGGTTTTTGGGGCCATTTTGTGTTTAAGAAAAATTCTTTGATTATCTATTTCAGTAGCAGTACCACTTCTCCAATCATTGTATACTTCATATTAAAATTTCAAAGACCTGCTCACATTGCATTTTTTTCTACCTCTATAGAAACCTAAATGTAGCAATGTGAGAAGAGTTTGAATGACCAAACCTATTCATTCGCTTCCTAGATTAGCTTGGCCAACTTCTTTTTCAAGAATAGCTCAAACAGCGAGCAACTGCGATGAACTTGGCTCACGTCACCGAAACCATGAGGACCTGTTAGTCTCTCGTCCAGACCACTGTTCATGAAGCCTAACCTCGTTGGTTGTGGTGTCTGAATGCGTGCGTCAGCTGTGAGTCTGGTTGCTATGCTGGCGGGATTTCTTGCACCAAGGAATCTTTGGTGTCCATAATCTATAATTACATGCCTTCCGTCTCTCGTGCGCTGGGCATCGCCTCGTGACCTCTTGAGAAAGGGTACTGATATCTGTCAATGAGCGTGGATCCATTTTTCGTCAGAGATGATACCGGTGTTCGTTCATCGTTAGCCTAACCAGGCTGGCCATTTGAAATCTTCCGACCATGTCGGTAATATATAAAGTGACACTTATTCATAATAGCGGTTTCAACGTTTATTAGGCCGTAGGCCGGTCGCCGATTCTTTACATTGCAGAATATTCACAGGATTTTGCTGTCTCGAACTCGAAACTCACTGCTAAAATTCTGCTGTGCTTAACCGCTCGGCCTCCTTGCCGATTCTGACCAGAAATTGGCGCACAGAGCTGGGATCGAACCCGCGCCTCTCTTCGCCAATCTTGGTACTCGGACTCTAACCACTGGGCCAACATCTTTTATAAATTTTATCATTTCCTTTATTAAGTGATATGCAAGTAACTGTTTCAAAAGACATGATCACAAATCTGAGGTGCAGTTCAAAGAGCAACATGAAAAAAAAACACATCACGCGAGAAGAATTGGCTAGTTAAGTAATTAATTGCTATACGTGCTTGCAGTCTAATAAGCATCCAGCCATTCATCTGGTAATTGACTTTCATCAACGTCTGATGTCGCCTAACTCTTCTAAGCTAAATCATTAATGTTAATCAGTTTCATTAGTTGCCAATAGTGAATCTCGGCTGCGTCTCCTAAATTTCGCGAGAACCAGTTGTCTATTGACGGAAACTCTTGGTACTGAGGCGTTTGGTACGAATAGTATGCACCACGGTTATTAATCGGACTCTAACTATTAGGCTCCGTGAGTATCCACGTTCCTAATCGATTCCTTGTCGTTCATAATGTATTCAGTGGTTGCTCACAACGCCATGTCTGATTGGTTTTTCAATTCATATCAGCATAGCCCCAGCATCATGATATTATGTTTGCGTTATCATATCCTTAGCAAAAGGTTCTATTACAGATTCGTTTTTTAAATAAAATAACAACAAAGAGTTACTTGCCATGAAGTTGGAGCCAAGACATCCCAAGGACGCGTTGATGAAAGGGTAGTCTGTATGAACGTCGCCTGTTGTGCGGTTCTGACTAGCTATCCTCTGTAATTACATGCCCTAGATCAAAGACTTGACACTATTAGAATTTTTACAGAAATATAATAGATTGTACGTAGGTGTAATGAGAAAATTTCGTACGTATGGTAATATTGTTGTGCAAGTTGTTCTACCGGCTCTTTGCAACACGTTCTCATGCAGTGCAATGAAAGTTGTGAAATTGGGCTGGAAAATATTATTTGGATTTTAGAGGATTAACGCCTAGACTTCGCATTTCCCATAAACCATTACTTCAATTTTGTTTGTCGTTATCGTCTCCAGATCAATCGCCTATCAATCCCCTATCATGTTTTCTGATCAATCACGTCCTATGATGTCCGATCTATGAATATTAATCTTCAGAATTGACTTCGCCGTGAAGTTTTAGATTATAGTTGAAGCGATTAAGCTAGCAGCTTCTGTCCTTTGCATAGTTGTTAGACTATGTGTTCTTGTGACAAATATGTTGTTGTGCATAAACGATTGGCTATGAGGATTTGAAAGACTTATTTTAACATTCGTTTACTTACAGCACCGTTCAAGCGTAGTCCCGTAGTTGGTGAATCATTCAGCGCATAACTAGTGTTTACCAATGGAATATATTGCATTAGGTGGGCGTGAAAGACCCGGCATCAAAAAATATTTGAACTTCACGGCCCGCTTGTAAACTTTTATCCATTAACAGTAGTGATAATTACCGCTACCTAAAAATTACGGCAAGAAGCAGAGGGTGCACAGCGGAATACAATATAATACATCTGCGGTAGGTGGTAGGAAAACCTTCGTGTTGAGTAAATGTCTTCGTTTTTAATGAATTTATAAAAAAGGTAACAAAATGTTTTTTTGCTTCTCGAAATATTTCTTATTTCATTTTACTGGTTCGGTTTCATTTTGATATACATTGGTTCTTTTGCATTAAACAATTTAGCTTGAATGCAATTTTTCAATATTATCGCTGGCTTGACAAGTGTGACGGGAAAGTTCCCATTTGTTCATTGTGGGGGATGAACAAATTAGTACCAAACCATTTACCCATGTACATTCTACACCAAATCTGATCAAAATATTGAAAGAGATTTGTCTGAGACAGTTTTCTTTCATCTCGAACAACTTCTAAATAGCTTACGTTTTCTGAACTCAGAAATGAAGGCAGAAATTTTGGGCGTGAGCAAAGATAGACCCTCTACACGGACTTGGAAACTGCGACGTCAGTGTGATGAGACCCTAAGAATATGCTTCATTGAATATTATTGTTGTTTAGTGAGATTAGCAACATAATTTGAATTACGATAATCTTTTGAATACTATTTTATAACACTTCTCTTTAACTTCACTTCTTGTTGTTTGTCTGCTTCAAATCTTATAATTGATATTTAACACACTTCTACCGTCCAGTCGATATGAAATTGTGCACACTTGCATAAAGTCGTAGACTATGCAAGAATCAATTGACAGAATAAATAATTTAAATAACTGAAAGAATTTTACATAGTAAAAAATCTAAAAAATAATTATTTCAAATATTTAAAAATAAAGTAAGAAATTCAGTGTACAAGGATAACATCGGAGACACTGGCCTCTTTAGAAGTGCTATCTTTAAAAAGAAAATGCAAAACGCATATTATTTGTTCTTTAGATCATGAGTTGACTTGAAACGGATGGTATACGGGCCAAATTTCTTAGCCAAATTAAACGGAATATGGTGGATGCATGACGAATTAGACTTGAACGGTTGGATTTATATTTTTGAACAAAAATTCAGAAGGAAAATATATATTTTAAATTTAATGACTAGGTATTAGTTAAATGAGTTTAATTAATAAACCATGATGTTGACCGACTGGAACAAGTTAAAATTTAAACCGTAATCACAATTGGAAATAAACAAACGAAAGTTTTTGTGCTAAATAGTCGAAGCTACGGCGTCGATATAAGCGACCACTTATAATTAGGTCACATAAGCGAGTTGTAAAAGTTCAAGATCCACGACAAAAATTACAATATGCAGAGTGTAACCACAAGATATGAGATTTAATATTAATGGAAGATTGAATAATTCTCCGAGATATTTCAATCGTCTCTGACAATCCGGAGCACGACTTTTTAGAAAATTGGTTCCTCTAACACAACATTCCCAATTTAAACGCTCTCTTTCTTTCCCAGTTACAGCAGCGATAATTTTACAATATTTAGAGTTATTTTCCATTCGTAACTGTCGAAATCTACTCAGTCGTGATTTTAATTGGTTCGTGTTGACAGAGCTTACACACGATTTACTTGCACAAATCAGAGACACCGTTAGCTCGACCAACTTGATGTATTCGAACTTCTCCGGTATCAATCTGGCGTCTTATTATATTCATTATAATTATGTTGCATGATTAGACCATATGTAATTGAGACGTAATATTCGTTTGACTTGATAGAGACTGATGGAGAAGCACAAGACATGAGTCAGTGTTTGGAAGACATCACGTGATAGATCACGCGATCAAGATCTTAGTGGTGAGCGGAAGTCGAAGTCTATAGAAGGGCTGGGAACCTTAGTAAGGCCCCCCCGTCCCCCCTCCCGCAGTAGTTGATGCATTGCAGTAGACTGCAATGTAATGCGTCGATTGAGTTTTCCGACCTTACTGTCGACGTCGTAGCCTCTACCTCTATCGCAACTTTTCTATTACCTTCCCGTATACCAAGATATGTAATCTAGACGGCTGTGTCCTACTTATCCTGCACGACCTTTGTAAACGAACCTTTCTCTACCCCGTAGGCGCATAAACATGAATCTGGGCCAAACTGGATAAGGCGAAATTCGTAAAACGTATTCGTGGTTATCATTTCGGTTTGAGATTTGCATTTATTATGGAAATGTCAACTGTCAATCACGCTAGTTTCGCGTATTCGATGACATAATATAATTATCGAAAAGTATTTAAGTCCTTCCGACTTGCCACTGCTTTAATCAGCATCGTACGGATCCGTGGGCAAGACATATTTTGTCATGGTTGCACAACGTACACACTCAGCAACACAGAACACCGAAGCTTTGTGCACAGGCTAGCGGAATGAGATAGTGGTCAGTGCCCATTTCGCTGCAGTAATTGTAGGTATGTAGTCAAACGCCAAAGAACAGTGGCAAATACGTAATATTGCTAAGCTTGAGTGGTTTTTCCTTAGCGCTATCAGCTCGCTAAACAGACACATCTGACCCGTTTATGTCCGGTTTCCAAGGTGCCTTTAACCCCTTCCTCCAACCCACCCCAGCTGTACCTGCCTCACCTAAACTCACCCGTTCAGGTAGCGTTGTTAGATTTAAGCAACACCCAGACTACGAGGCGAACAGATCCTTGCCAGTGATGGCGGCGTTGTCGTTCGCTGATCTGAACAATTTCGTGTTTCTGACCTGCTTCGCCTTGAAGCTTGCTCTATTGTATAGTACGCCCTCAATGCGCCACGCCACAATGTTGTTCGACTTCGGGACCTCCTCGTAGTCAGGGATGACGTACCATTTCTCGTCCTCCGTGGAGGACTCCTCAGACTCTGACTCGGCGCGTGTGATCGGGGTGATGTTGATGGGGGCGCTGCTAGTCTCGCTCGAGTTGAGAGCGGCGGGTTTTGGTGGGGACTGAAAGGGCGTTTGTTGGGGCACGACCTGTGGAGCCGGTGGTTGCACAATCAGGGGCGCTTCTGGGTGGCGTACCAGCGGNGTTGAGAGCGGCGGGTGTTGGTGGGGACTGAAAGGGCGTTTGTTGGGGCACGACCTGTGGAGCCGCTGGTTGCACAATCAGGGGCGCTTCTGGGTAGCGTACCAGCGGCGGACACCCCTGGCTTGCGGCTTGTTGGACCGTGTAAGAGTCCTCCGGCAGAGAGGACTCGTCCTCTTCAGAGAAGTCCCCCAGTTCATCCATAGAGAGAGGGCCTTCCTCGTCGGAGAGGGAGTCTTCCCGCCCGGAAGAGGCGTCCTCGAGCGAGGAGAGTTGTTCTCGCTGAGGGTTGTGGCCCGAGATCGATGGCACAGGCTCGGTCGTGGCGGGGTGCCGTTGTACTGCGGTCAGATGAGCTTCCACTGAGCCCAGTCGTGCGGAGATGAAACGCAACATCTCGAAGACGGCGTCGGAGTTTCCCGTTTCGCTGCCCGTCTGCACGATAGGCATTGAATTAGTAGGTGCTGGTTGTAAAGGTTGAGGAGGTAACGTAATTCTATGCTATATCCCTAAGAATATTGACGTGAAGGGGGAGTTATTCCCGCCCTGATTCTGAATGGCTGTGGGCCGCTTAGGGCGCTTATGCTGTGGCGGGAATCATTCATTTTCCGGAAATGGAAATAAGAATAACTGAGAGAAAAGGTGCCTCGTGTTAGTAGGGCTTACCGAAAATGATGCCGTAGCCATTGTTCCAGGGAGCGTTGTCGCTGAGGAAATCTTTGTCCCCTCCTTTCTCTGTTCCGTTGATGCGGGAGACTTTCTCGCCGGTGTGGAAATTTGTCCCGCCGATGCGGGCTCTCGTCCCGCCGAGGCGGGTAACGTTGCCGCAGGCGTCGCCATAGCTGGCTCAGGATGGATACGTGGTTCGTAGGGATCCACGTCCTGGATGAGAAGTAGGGGTGGTTCAAGTGCAGGGTCATAAGCGGGCGCGATTACCTCGTCCCTCGAGGCGTGGACGGTGCCTGCTACCGTTTCATACGCGGAGGGAAGTAGTGCCGCGGATGCCTCCCCAGACAGTGTAGTAGGTAGCGGGAACGGCGGTAAGGCTTGGCCCGGAGGTGGCGGGAAGTGGAGGGTTTCTGCTTGTCCCGGTGTTATCGGACTGCAGCAGTTGACCGAGATGAACCGGGAAATATCTGAAGAGCTGGAGGCCACGGAGGGAGCTCTGGAATGGGGCCGTTTAGCTTGGCGATAGCCGACATCGAAGGCTTTGTCGCTGTCGGAAGCCCAACGGAGCCCTACCCCTTGCCATTTCGATTTTTGTGCCCTGCTGAGGGCTTGGCTCTGGAGGCTGAGGAACGTTTTGCGGGCGCGCTCTCTTTCAGCGGGATCCGCGTCTGTCAGCTTAGGAAGCAGGGAGCGGCACTCGTCACAGCCTGAAGGCTTGTAGATGCCCCCGGTCAGAATGCATTTGCTGTGTTTTGCACAGCTATGTTGCGGCGTCTTGGAGCACTTTTTGCAGGATTCGTCCGCCATGGTAGAACTGGAGGGGGAAATGACAGTTGTAAGAAGAACCAAAGCTCCCAGCATCAAACAATGCGAAATTTTATAGGAGTGAAAAGCAATTAAAATAGAAATTGACGATAAATGAATCTGAATGATCGCCGGCGACTAAGCGCATCGGCAGTCTAGTTAGATTGAATTTAATAATAAGGTGCGAGATCGCGGAACGCGATCCCGCCGGTAATGATTCCCTTGATTCCCTCCAGAGTGGAGGGAAAACTGAATCTGAATGACCGCCGGCGACAAAGCGCATAGGCAGTCTATTCAGATTGAATTAAAAAATAAGGGGAGGGACCGCGGGAAGCGATCCCGTCGGTAATGATTCCCGCCAGAGAGGAGGGAAAAATGAATCTGAATGACCGCCGGCGACACAGCGCATAGGCAGTCTATTCAGATTGAATTTAAAAATAAGGCGCGGGATCGCGGGAAGCGATCCCGCCGGTAATGATTCCCGCCAGAGTGGCGGGAAAACTGAATCTGAATGACCGCCGGCGACAAAGTGCATAGGCAGTCTATTCAGATTGAATTTAAAAATAAGGCGCGGGATCGCGGGAAGCGATCCCGCCGGTAATGATTCCCGCCAGAGTGGCGGGAAAACTGAATCTGAATGACCGCCGGCGACAAAGAATCTCGGTAGTCTATCAGATCAGAACTTTCATTTAAAACACGGCGGGGTGGCAAACCCGCCAGAAGAAAATGAAAGAAATGCACAAGTTCGAATTTAAAGATTAGTCAATCGTTCAACTTGTAGTTGGGAGGGAATTACTTGACTCGAGAAGCGTTACACGTTCTCGACGAATTTCCCTGCGCTTTTTTGAGGATAAAAATTTTGCTTGAAAAATGCTTAGAGAAGCATAGATAATCTATTCCTACCCGGAATTAGATTCAAGGAGTTAAAGCGCATTCCGTACCCCACGTGGGGTCGGCTTATCCGCTATGTACTCGAGTCATTCGAGGAGGGAGCACCGACGCACTTTTCCGGTGCTTGCCGATTCCCGACGGGAATAGCGGCGGTAAGCAACTGCCGATTGTACCAATGGCGGTTGTCTGGTAGCGTTTTCCGCCGAAGCGGCAACGTCTACCTTACCTGAGTTGGTCTGTCGCCCAGAAAGTAGGCTTTCTGGACTTGAGCGGAGTACCTGGTGCCTCTTACGAGTACCAGGTCCAGGAACGGCACGTAAGACAAGTGTATTACGAAGCCGTCTTCCTCTCCAGTAAACTAAGGCTATACCTCAAGCAATTCGCACGGGGATGCGAAAGTTCGAGTGTATTGGCTTCAGAATACGCTATAGACCTGATCAAAGGATTTGATCGCCCTACGACAGCATAGCTAACGGGCTCGTCAGCGGCTGAGCGAAACGGGCTAAGGCTATTTTGTGCAGTGTATGCAAGTAAAATGAACCTTATTAAGCAATCACTGGCGGAGCAAGAAAGTAATCTCACTGAGTCACCGGAGCACTGAGTCACGCCCAGCGTGAGTCAGTCTGGCTGACGCCCGGCGACTCTCGCTTACAAGCGCAAAACCAAACACTGCACTCGCGAACTGGTAAACAGTTATTAGAACTGTGGTTACTTATTTAACACATAGCATTTTTTAAGGCTAAAGCCTTACATTATTATCAAATGATAATTGCAGGGAAATGTGTCCTAAAACTCACTTGTTTGTACGACTGTATATGGTGATGCAAAGCAGTCACTAGAGGAGCTGCGTAGCAGCACGGACTGTGTCGTAGCAAAGATTGAAAGCATGCAGACAGAGCCTGCAGGGCTGTGGCACCACTCAAGGTCAATGGTAGAAAAGCTGCCAAAGGCGGCTTTCTTCCTTTTTCTTTATTGCTACGATTAAATTCGAGGAAGAAACAATCCAAAGATCAAATAGAGCTTTTGAAATGTTAAAAGCAAACAGCCTAAAACGGAGTTTGCTTTAATTTATGCTTCATAGATAGGAAAAATGTTGGAAGTTTATGCAACTATTTTTAGTTTTGCATTATTTCAATTAGTTTTGCTGCTATAACATTTTTAAACCATGATGGAGGACTGTCCAGATTTACCCTGCCTGTTCCTTATTACCCCATTTGACGGCATTGACGATACCTTTATTCTTCGATTGCAGGGAAATACCTAGAAAGCTAATGTAAGATGAAATGATTTTGACACCAACTGAATGATTTGAACACTAACATAACATACCTGTCAAGCTGAACTGAGAGCCCTGGGCTTTTTCTGATGGCATCAGCAAGTTGACACCAACTGGCAACTGAATAATTTGAACACTAACATACCATACCTACCTGTCAAGCTGAACTGAAAGCCCTTGGCTTTTTCTGATGGCATCAGCATGTTTACTGTTGGGAAGCTTTGCGATCATGTCAGTGAACTGAATAATTTGAAATTTGAACACTTACAGAACATACCTGTCAAGCTGAACTGAGAGCCCTCGGCTTTTTCTGATGGCATCAGCAAGTTTACTGTTGGGAAGCTTCGCGATCATGTCAGTGAACTGAATAATTTGAAATTTGAACACTTACAAAACATACCCGTCAAGCTGAACTGAGAGCCCTCGGCTTTTTCTGATGGCATCAGCAAGTTTACTGTTGGGAAGCTTTGCGATCATGTCAGCGCACTGTCTCTGGTATGAAAGCTTGCCCAACACATAGCCACAAATTGCTGCCAAGGTTACCTTAGGGAAGACCCCAAATGAAGCACTGGGCTTGATATAACCTGAAATTGAAAAACTCTTAATCCTGCGCAGACAATTACTTGAAAGCCACGGGCTCAAAAGCATCATAAAAATAAAAAATGTATTATTTTTTACATAAAACTCAAAATATTAAAACAGACCCTAGAAAAGTGTACAAAGACAGCTAATATAGGTATATTGCACTATAATCATGAAAAGACTGAGACATATCAGCCAAGAGGATTTTAATTTGAAATCAATCAGGAGCTAGACACCTAATTGCTCAAGTTCATTTGGAGTAGGTACCGTATGAGCCATTTAAAAAATATAGCAATTTTTGTTCAGATTCATGACCAAATATTTCATTAAATTAATATATTCTAACTTTATATGCTTAATAACACTGTTCAAATGAAATGTACAGATTTGTACATACATTGTACGTACATACATTTTTAAAAGTGAAAATTTTGTTATAGTTCTGGTTTTAAAATAAGACTAGCAATTACAAATGGTTGAAGGAACAAACCAGTACTAAGTGTAACTAGTATTTCAAAAACTTGTACAAAGTTTCAAGCCATAAGAAGACATAAATAACTTTCATAATGAAAAAAAAAAATTATTGCAATGCATTGACAAATTCTATGATATACAATAAGAAACAAATACCATATCACTCTTTAAGAAATAGTAAATAAATGCACAAATGAGTACAGATATATATAAAAAAAATTAACATTCACCTCTTGAGATGCCAAAATATGTCAGAGCAGAGGTGATGGTAGCTAAGGGGATGCAGCGGAAAAGTAAGGACTCCCTATTGCACTCCCTCAACACACGTATCTCTTCCGGTGAGAAGGCCTGGCATCAGGCACAATTCTATGTTAGCAATCTTCAAGTTTAATAATTTCAATCATTATAATCAAAAGACTACAATTAACTTAATATGTACATACTGTAAAATATTAATGTACTTCAATGCACCAAATGAAAATGATATGAAAACCTATCAAACATTGTATTCAATTAAACAAGCAGACAAAATAAATTTGCAAAATTTTCAACTTGCTACTTTTTTCATCATAGGAAAACACCAGTAATGTGAGAATATATAATGAACAAAACTACCAGATACACTTTGATGGTAAATGGATCTTACATAAGGTCCTTGGAAGCCAGCTTGCGGTGGGTTTGGTCCTCCAGGTTGTGTTGGAAATCCATCAGGACTGGGATTAGGACCAGTAGAGGTAGCCATAGGTGAAGGATAATAATTCTGCTTTCCACTAGTTTCATCCATAGATCATTTATTGGATGAATATATTATATTGGTTTCTGTCTGTTGGAATACTTAGTAAGAATATATATACATAAATAAAACTAAAGCATGACATAAAAAAAGAAAAAAATGCATATGTAATTAAATTTTAAAACTTGATAATCTGGTAAGCTTTCTTGCAGTAACTTATTCTTTTATTTTGGTCACCATTTTTTGTAAATACTTTGCAATCATTTTTTGTTTGTTTGGCCTATTGGATTTGGAGACCCCTTTTTCCAGTCTAAAAAAAAGGCTATGCTAGTCTACCAGTATTGCACATAAATTTTTGTACTAATATGAAGAGTTTGAAAATAGTGTTACCAAAATTACAGCACAAGCAAGAAATTTTATCATACAAATGATACAAATTTGTACCAATTGTACTCTGTACACACATACATGAAATTTGTGCTTTTATCAATGCCATGCTAGCTACAGTGCAGTGCCACTCAAGTTATCTGGTAGGTGTTGTTAGCAAAGTACTTATGTCACTCACTTAAGGGCACCGCCCTAGCATACGAAAACTTCTACAGTTATTATCCGATTGTCATGAAACTTCACATACACACGTAAAATGTAAAAAAAAATTTTTTGCTCCTATGAATTTTTCGAAAAAATTGATAGAAAACGTGAAATTCATAGAAAATGGCCAAAAAGGGGTACTTCAGAAAATCTATCTCCTCCCACAAATATCATCCTACAACATCGAGACACGTATCATTCGATTCGTAAAAACCATATCTATCGACTCTAACATCACTTTTTTCATTTTCCACCTAGTTTTTTTTATGACGTTTTTCCCCATTTTTACATTTTTCACCCCTCCCCCCCCTTCTTCCCCATATAAAAAACGAACCAGACCGAAATTCCAAAAAAGTGATGTTAGAGTCGATAGGCCTGGTCTTTACGAATCGAAGGGTATATGTCTCATTGCTGTAGCTTGAAAACTGTAGTAGGAGATAGATTTACAAAAAGACAAAAAACGAAAATTAAAATTTTGAAAGAAAGTGAAAACTGAAGGAAAGTTTGGTCCATGCACTATCACTGGATCCCCGGCTTTACCATCGCCTATTATCTCGTCACGAGCGAGGGGTATCATCAGGCGCCACCTGACTCGTGTAGTCCAGTTTGGCACCGAATAATGAAGAGAAATATTAGAAAGAAATGAAGGAAATTATGATAGAGAAAGTTGGAGTGGAAGAGATCAAACGGTCTCAGTGTCCGGGCATTGGCTTGGCCAAGCGATTTACTGTGATTTACACGTACTAAATCGTCCCTTGAACACGTCATCAACCGCTGAATAAAGAACAAAAGTATGAAAGATATGAACAGCATTGAAGCATTAGAAATTTCCAGCACCATACGAGGCATCTGGATCAGCGGAGGAGCGCTTGGCCTTCTGCTTTGGTCTGAAATTGTTGACGGCTTTCTCGGCTGTTCTTAGAACCTTCAACAGTTGACGTGTTCCTGCACCCAAAGCTCTAGGGAGGTTGCCTTCCACATGCCCAAAGTTGTGGTTCAAGGCAGTCCCTTGAGCAATCATGCGAACCCGATTCATGCTCGCAAACTTCTCTTTGGAGCATTGCAACCAGATCTGCGAGTGCAAGCTCTCATTGCTGTTCTGCGTCCGTCGCTTCATACACCGCCGCATCAGCTCAGGCGAGGTCAAATCGATGTAAATCTTCAGGATCTCGGCAAGTAACGGCTGAGATAAATTCCCCAGCCACATATCCTTACTCGAGTGAGATGCCGGCGTTACATTCTGAGCTTCAGCTTTTCTCACCCAGCACCAGGAATCAGCTCCAATCGGGCAGCTTTGATGTTTGGGATTGTCATCTGTGCTGCTGGAGTGGTAATAGCTCGCCATGACGTGCTTTCATTCTGCTTCATTGCAAAGAACTTCTCCATTTCACTGAAGAGAAAGGCACAATGCCCAGAGAAGGCTTCGTTTGAGAAGCCATCGGTTGACAGGGCAGCACAGATCTGCTTGCACCCGGCTAAGCCATCACTATTCATTAGTGAATAGTATATAAGGGTAAGATTGCGAAGAGTGAATGGAGACACACTACCGTCAATTTTCTTCGCATGTTCAGCCTTATACAAATCTTGCTTCGCATCGCAAGCCTGGCATTTGGTGGAAATCGAAGCTTCCGCATGAATTGCGTTCACCGTGACATCACAAATGCTGTCAGTCACATTCGGAACAATTCAACTTGGAGCTCAAAATCTTCTCCACGAAGTCAATAGGAAGAAGGACCATTTTACCGGCCTTCTCAACCTGACTTACACCGGCATCCTGCATGCTTGGAGCAATGGCAAGTATTTCTTGCCGGCGTGCAAGGGGATTGACGATCGCAGGCGGCTCAACAGGTGGCTCTCGTTGACCTCCACGAGGTCGAACATACCCACCTTTACCTATATTATACCTTTTACGTTTAGGCATCTTACCTGTTAGGAATCTAAATTGTAAACAAAGAAACACTCGCAGCACCTTCACTCAGCACAGTTCAAGACTAACTGACGCTCGCAGATCGATATCGGAGCATGTGCAAGGCTAGAAACACATCGCTGGAGTGCGGCGGCCAATGATCGCGTCGTAGTAAAAGCCAGATTACGTACAAACTAACACACATACAGGCATGCTGTTACACCATTGGATGCATACAAATCAGAGCTCCACCCTGATATCTCTCATTGGCCGCTGAAGCAAGGCGTTGAAAATTGCCAGCTCGATTGGTCGGCAATGACACAACAGCTGAGTAGCGCAATTGGCCCGTGTGAGCCACTTGGGCTAGATCAACCAATCGTACTAAAATCAATAAAAAAAAACTAACGCACGCACAGACATGCCGATTACATCGTTAGACGCGTCTAAAAGTCAGCTTTAGAAAGCATTAATAAAAGAAAAAGTGAAAATTTTCGATTTTTAGCTAGGGCGGTCCCCTTAAACAATCTAAATCTCTTTTATTAACAAAATTGATCTGAAACTTTCTTGCATGATTAAACCAGCAGTTAAGGTATTATGTGGTAGTCAATTTGACAAACTCTACACCTCTGTCAAATCATTGTTACTTCTGATCATCGTTCTATGCTTTACCTAGTTGTGAAAAGTCCTACTTTTTTGTGAGTTAGTTAGTTTAGTGGCAAAATGTTGACAAGCGCTTCAGCTATTTAGCTATCTCGTACTGAAAGTCAAGATTAACATCACCAAAGAGGTGGAAGGTCTCAGTTATTGAAGGTTTCTTAAATCAAAAAATCATTCATCACCCACAAGGGGCAGAAGGTCTCAATTGTCCAGCCTGCTGAAGCTGGCTCGAAGTAAGCAGCGTTAGCATCTCAAAGAGATGAAGTGACAAGGAGGGACAGGTGAAAAGCAACAGAAACTAAGACACTTGAACAAGAGGTTGCTTGCACAGGATGTCGGCCACCCGCACGAGAGAGACAGAGAAGGGAAATGTAAGGAATCCTACCTATACAATAACTTAACCCACAACAGAGATCTGCAGTCAGACACCGCAAGCTCAGTGGTGGGGTGCTCAGGAACAATCCCTCTAGGAGCATGAAATCCCATAAGACTTCTGATGAGCACAGATACATGTCAGATGTCCCCCCTGAAGAAACACTTTTTTTGTGAAATATTGAGGCTCTAATTTCATATGATCTCAGTAGGTATGAAATCTCGTCGTTCTAATGCAATACCTATGTTTTTGTTAGATTGAAGAAATTGCATTCACAAACATGTCATTTCACAAAATTTTCAACTTCCACAGCTTTTAGTACCACGCTCCTGCCAAAATATCCTGAATAACAAGTCAACCCAAAATGTTTTATTGGAGATTGCATACTTGTGGTCATGTCAGACTGCATTATCTCATGTTTACTGTTCAGTTGCCTCTAAAGTAAAGACAAATGTTTTTGTTGCTGTTTCTAAAGTAAAATCAGAGATATGGAGTAACGTGTGCACAGGACTTTGCAAATAAGTTTGCAGCTCATAAATGGCTCTACATGGCTGGGATACGGAATTCATGGCCCAAAGAAATATAATCACGGCTTGCAAATCCATAAAACCATGGCTTCAGAGAGTAGATATTTCAGATATATATAGTGGTTCAGAGAGAAGATATTTTCATCACTAGCGCCTTATACCTTTGTACAGACTACAGAACTAACGGAGCAGCCAGAGCCACTAGAGTCTATTATCATCTGAGACAGTGCTGACTGCTGAGTACTGAGTAGTAACTTATGTGGTGTCATTTATGTTTTAGAGAATGACAAAGATTCTGGAGTCTCAATATTTTCAAATCTTATTTTCTACCATAAACAAGTAATAACAAATGAGTCACCTCTCAGCATAAAAAATGTACATACTATGCAGACTTTGCCCCACAGTGGCCAACAAGAGAGTTTTTTGTTGCATTTCATTAATGCTGTTAGTATGGTAAAATTGTAGGAAATGGTTGTTCATTTAGATCTACCAGGACAGCTAAAGCGCTCCAGCGCTACTCACTTGAGAAGCAGGCAGGGAGAGCGGGACGGCCACTTGCTCCAACACGAGTGGGCCGACAGCTGTGGCAGCGTGCTTATCCCGCTATGCGGCTATAATAGGAGCAGGACAAGCATGCTGCCGCTGCTGCTGGTCTGCTCATATTGGAGCATGCACACCTCAATTACATGGGTACATGGTCATTTAGAAGGAATTTAGAATGCCAGTGTGAGTGTGGTTGTTAGCATTGTTGCGGATCTTGCTCATAAAACTAATATTATTTAGATCATATCTCACTACCTAGAACTAATTTTATGTTCATATATTATTTTAATATTCATATTAATATTAATACTTACCATATTAAGTTTATCACATTAAATAATTACAATACCATCATAAGAATAGTTCAGAGGCAGCTCAGTTTAGTCGATGGCAACATCTCACTCCCGCCATGCCTTGCCATTTCACAGCCTCCTAGAACTATAGCATCCTATTTTGACTCCTGGCATTGAACAGACAACATCTCGCTGTCCCCAACATCGGCTAACATCTGGCCTCTGCAACGTGCAAACTCGTGCAAGCTCCCATCTCAGTCAACAATCTCTGTCGGCTTCTCAGCCAGCATCTTGCCACCCTGTGCACCACCGCCATCTTGCCACCCTGCATGCCAACGCCATCTTCATCTACATGCCGACGCTTCTCCACGTACAGTCGTACACCAGTAGATTTTGTCCATGTGCGTTCAGTGAACTTTCTCCCCGCACTTCAGTGAATTTTGTCCACATGCATTCAGTGAACTTTCTCCCCCACACATTCAGTGAATTTTGTCCATGTGAGTTCAGTGAACTTTTTACCCACACATTCAGTGAATTTTATCCAAGTGTGTTCGGTGAACTTTCTCCACACACATTCAGTGAATTTTGTCCATATGCGTTCAGTGGACTTTCTTCATTAGACTCCATATACATTCAGTGAATCTTCCCACATCACCACGCATTACGGATGTGTTCTCAAGTCTCAGCATTGCACCATCATTTCTGCCATTTCAATGTCTCCACAACAATGGCACATCCACAACGTCTCACCATGCAACAACGCATATCTACATTCAACACGCAACCACGTGTATCTTATCAAGTTATCACCCTTCACCACTGGCCTGGCCCCACTGTGCAGAGAGTGGATGAATATTGCAAGATCTTTGGCGAAGCTTCAGTAGCAAAATTTACGCCTTCAGAAAATCTTGCCGACACATTTAGATTGTAATTCTTGCATTTAATATGTTTGTCAGTCTTTGGCCAACTATTTAGAAAAAAAGTAAGGTTTCCCGTACATTGGATGGATCAGGATGCAGTAAAGCTTGTCTGGAAATTGGTTGCAATGAGTTCCCGCCAAAAAATGTAAAGAAAATGTAGTTGCGGTCACATTAGAGCGATCAGACTGCATCATCACATGTTCAGTTGACACTTGCTGTACAATTGGGCTGTTTTTACTTTTTAGGGTAAAATTAGTCATCATCCCTCATCAACTTTGTAAATAAGTTCGTGGCTTGTAAATAGTTTTTCATTACTCAGCGTAAATGGCTTTTCATTAAAAATTACCTGGCGACGCATTTTGAAAATGGTCGGCGACGCTTTGGGCTTAAAAACCCATATATTGGCAACGCTGCTTCCACCTTCTGCACCCTGGGCCTGGCCTTCCAGTTCCTCCTGGATCATCACCTCGAGCAGGTCACGTGAGCTAAACCAATAAATTCACTTTGTCTAATTATTGTGTGTTTACTTATCCCATCGTACCACACCTAAACCTTTCTATCTGAGTTTAGTAACTCTAATAAGGCCAGTACAAGTTGTACTGGCCTCATTACAGCCACACTCAGGATGATGTATGTTTTCGGTGAATTTTCCCGTGCATTTTCACTTTTTTTAAGCTATTGCTGTGCACAGTTGGCGCAATGTAATGAAAATTGATTCTCTTTGCGCACGTGTTCGCGCAATCCCGGCCATCAATTCTACGTCACACTGCCGCGCACGAGCAGTTTGTAGAGGAACAGACGTAATACTTACATTACTCAGTACAGTATGCTTTTAATTATCTTTCAATAATATATGATTTTTCTTGATACGGAAATTTGGCGAATGAGAAATCTAGAACTTTATTTTAGAAGAAATTTTCTCCAAAGTCATATGGCAACACTGAACACCGTCTGTTTACATTTTGTATGTATAATAGCCGCAGTTTATGATTACCGTATGTTCCGTACATAGTGACAAACCAGAGATTTTTTAGAATCAGTTCATTTTTAATTTTTGCATTTACTCAAGATTTAAGCCAATTTCTTATGCATGATGTCTGGTATTCATGATACTTTACTGGTCTACTAATTCTAATAGGACTCACAAATGAACTTGATGGAGTCATGGAGAAGCTAAAAAAGTCTCTGCTTTGCCACTATGGAACTTCCGTATCCGACAAGGCGGACAAGCGGAAGAGTCAGAAGTAACCCGGACACATAGTGGCAAACCACAGCTTTTTTAGAATCAGTTCATTTTTAATTTCCTCATTTACCCAAGATTTAAATCAATTCCTTATGTATGATACTAATGGTATCCAGGATACTTTACTGGTCTACTTATAGGACTCACAAATGAACTTGAGGGAGAGTCTAAAAAACTCTGTGCTTTGCCACTATGCGGCCGGACATGTCTTACATTTTAAATTTTATTATTGTCAGTTCGACTCTCGTAGTCAATATACTCGCGTATATTGTCTACTAAAATAGTAGAACTATTTTAGCTTTCTAAAGTACGGCGCAAAGCGCATTTATTTACCAGCATAGTACGGCGCACCACGCAGGTTGTTAAAAATCATAAAATGACAAAATAAATTCCCGCGCACCTGGCACATCTTCCTTACCATGGCATTACAGTTAGTAAACAATACAGTTGTACTGGCCTCAATCCTCTTAGACTTATATAAGTCTAAAATGACATATATGGATAGGTAATGTATATAAATAAATAATACCCTATAGCATCCCTATTGTATTAATTACTGTCAGTCTGTCACTGTCCCACACCCACACATCCCACAGGATAGTGAAAAATTTTTTGGAATAGATCAGAAAGTTTGAACTAACTAAGTAAAAAAAACCCTCATTGATTGATTTGGCCTTTGTCAAAATCATGACTATTTGAGTCTATGTCTTGCTGCTTGTCACTAAAAACTGTATAATAGTAATAATAATAAATTTAATAGCTAATACTGTTATCACAAAGTGAAAGTACCTACAAACACCATCTCAGTTGTCTCACTTTTCTGATCTAGACTGATGATCTGCTGATCATAACTACAAATTATAGAGTGCGTGCGATAACCTCATGATTATATATATTCAGATTATTGTATACGCATTTGTGTCCGAAAACAGCTGCAAAAGCAGCGACTATGAACTAAAGTAAAAGCCCCCTCGGCCCTCACCTCTGTTTCACGGCTGCGCCTCCGTTGACAGATCTAACGTTGGCCACGATTCACACATTCTGTATGAGCGGAAATAATGAATTCATTTACATTGATAATTTCACTTAGAATAGAAATGTCGGCATTGAAGAAATAGGCCCTTTGTGTATTTTGCTCACTAAACGAGAGATAGAACCAGGAAATTGATGAGAGTTCATGCAGATAATAAATTTCTGCATGCATCAATGTTTATTTTAAGTTTGCACGGAGATAACGTGAGGCAGTGGTTAATAAGGCGAGATTAATTGATATATTTGAAAACGAGGAATAAATAAAACTCAAAGACAGCATTGATTTACTATATTCTTTTAAGAAACACATTTTTAGATTGACCTTTCAGATGAAGTTAACAATACAATAAAATCATGTAGGTAGGCGATGAACGAATGATAAAAATAGCCTATAAGTATAACAGTTTCTTTCATTCACATTAAACTTATTTCGGGAATTGAAATGTAAAATTGTTTATTTCAGTTCTGTTAACAAAATAGATAGCTCGGCAGTTATAAAATTTATATAAGCCTGCACTCAGCACAATTTTTGCGGTAACTAATAACGTTCCCGATTCCTATTTATTGCAACTATTTTTCTCATTAATTCTCACAGAAAATTACGAAAAACATAGAAAATTTTCTTAAGTGCCAAGAAATGTCCAATTCGAGAGAAGGGCCTAAAATCAGGCAGATAGTTGACTGACAATCCAGTTGCGGTAGTAAGCCACGTCGGTGTATATGGCAGGCACGTTCTCCACACCACAGGACTGCGTGCCGTACGACACAATGCCCACCTGTTCACAAGGGGAAAGATTGTGTGAATTGTGATAGCTTCACAGTATGATGAAAAATTAAAAATATAGCCAATAGACGGCAAAAAAGACCACAAAATATCGTTAATTTTGGACAAATACATTCACCTTAAATGCAAGACAATATTGTAATTTCAACACAAATCTACTAATTAATCATTATTTATGCGGTATTGAATGAATATGAACATGACGGTTATCTTTGCTATTTTCCTCTCAGGGGGGACTTTTGACGCGTGTCTGTGCTCGTCCGAAGTCCTATGGGATCTCGCGCTCCTAGGGGTCGGGGATTGTTCCTGAGCGCCCTACCGCTGAGCTCTCGTTGTCTGACCGTTTGTCTCAGTTGTGGGGTTAAGTTATTATGTAGGTAGGATACCTTACATTTCCCCTCTCTGTCTCTCTCGTGCGGTGCGGGCGGCCGACGTACCGTGAAAGCGACTTCCTGTTTGAGTGTCTTCGTTTCTGATGCTTTTCACCTGTCCCTCCTTGTCACTTCGTCTCTTTGAGATGCTAACGTTGCTTCTTTCGAGCCAGCTTCAGCGGGCTGGACATCTGAGGCCTCCTGCCCCTTGTGGTTGATGAACAATTTGAGACTCTGAATAATTGAGGCCTTCCGCCTCGCTGGCGATGTTAACTTTTGACCTCCGGTGCGAAATAGCTTGATAGCTGAAGCGCTAGTGAACCATTCTACTACTTACTTACTCATTACTATTTTGTACGTTAATAAGTAATATTACGCAATGTCCTAAAACAGTTGATAACCGTTATGAGAATTTAATTTAGTAGTTATCTGTACCTGAAGATACTGAGAGCTGGTCGGGGTGGTAGTGACCATGGCAGGTCCTCCTGAGTCCTTGAAGCACGAGTCCATTTGGAACTTCCCGCCCAAACACACCTGTGGAAAACACGTTGAATGTATCCGCCAACCAAATATTTCAAATTTTTCTGAAGTTCTAAATTAGGAAGTTAGTGGAAATGTCCGTGGCTGGAGGTCGTTAGGTTTAAACGAAGATCCGATAAAGATGTTTTCCGAGCATACTTGATTTGACTACGGAATGATCAATGCTCGTTATACTTAAATGGCAATAACTTATCAAATTTTGTGTCAATCAGTCTCATTATTTACAAGAACTGCATGTAATAAATCCAGATGCGAAACAGTCACATAATTTTCAACATATGATACGAAACAGTCACATAATTTTTAACAAATAAACTACACGATCACATGGTCATAACATTTATTGAGCGAACCATACTGAAATTATCATTTTTATCAAAGAAAACGGCCTTAAATTCCTCTATAGGAATCAGACGCACTTTGAACCAAACAAACCTGGCCGTTGGCAGCAAGGCTGCTATAGTTGGCTACCATGCGGCACTGCTGCATTGGTACATAAGGTAGCAGAACCTCCAGAAGCTGGTTGCTTCTCACGCCGGCCTCCGTGTCGCCAAATCCGATGACAAACACGTCTCTGCCCTGAATGATGGTCTTGGCTGACATGCCAGGACTTGGCAAGCATATGGGTTGGATGTAAACTGTAATAAATACATTTAGATTTAGGACAAGGGTTTAATAAGAGCATACAATGTGAAGTACAGAAAAATAGTTTTATTTAGAAAAGACGTTTCTGAAATTGAAGTCATCATTACATGATGTCCATATGACATGAGGTCTGGTACTGCAAATATATTGCATGCAATACCCTGCATTAATTTTACAATTTCAACGTCCTAAAAAAGTGAAACAAGTATCAATAAAAATCTCACGCGAAGAAAAATCAACAGTTTTGTCCAGCTTGAGGACTGCTACGTCATCACTGAGGGCACCGCGCGTGTTGAAGGAAGGATGCCGGATGACAGACGAGATGCCGAAGTCCAAGGGTTCCGGAGCGCAAAACGACGAACTGCAGTCTGGATTTTTCACCAGGTTGTGTTCTCCCAACCGAACGACAGTTCTGGACGACAAATTTTGGTTTTATGAAACCCAAGGAAGTGCTGCTGCACCGATTTTCAAAAAATACTTTACAATGAGAGCTGGCTTTTTTGGTTAAGTTTAAATATATTTCTAGCCAAAACAGGCTTTTGACCGATATATTTTTTTTGGCACTGAATAGCAAGCACTTTGAAGACCACTTCGGAGAAAATTGCGGTCTTCGCCACAGCAATTACCTACAGTTATATCACTTGAAGGAATACTCTCATTGCAATTGGAGGTCAAAGTGTGTAAGCAACATCTAGATTTATCTGCTTGCTTCCACAAAGTTTGTCATCACATGCAGAGTGCACTCAAGGGTCTAGCAAGTTTGTCATTGCAGACACAGTGCACTCACAGGTCTAGCAAGTTTGTCATCGCAAGCACGGTGCACTCAAGGGTCTAGCAAGTTTGTCAACAGGTCTAGCAATTTGTCATCACATGCAGAGTGCACTCAAGGGTCTAGCAAGTTTGTCATTGCATGCACGGTGCACTCACAGGTCGAAGAAGTTCGTCATTGTAGGTACGGTGCACTGCGCGGCAGTGAGCACGTGTTGTTCAGTGATCAGTGACCCACCACAGCCCCAGTGAATTGACGTAGCCAGACGGTCGCCGGAACCTGCAACGGTTGTTTATTCGTTAGAAAAATTGAACATCTTAGCATCATAATTTTATTGGAAACACGTGGCTTTTAGAAAGAAAGAGCTTTAATTAATAATAGTTTATAAAACTTTTACATGTTTATAATATCAAACTTGTTCCTTGTTTGCAAAACACCGATGAGAGGGTTCAGTGTTATAGCACTGTTTGCATTGATGATTAGCTTGATCTAACCTATATATTAATATATATATTGCCTGCATGATGCACTCAAGTGTTTGCATGAAAAATTAGCAATATAACTTGCATCGCAGCTCCCTGAGCTTGCAGTTACTCGCCATTTGTCAGGCTCAAATGGGTCAGAATGACTTAGCTATTTGAACATTGCCCTGGTCATTTCTCAGAGTGTAGTATACCTCACTTACGCGTAAAGCCCAGCACGGCCATCCATGGGTACGCGCCCAAGGGTACAGGGGTGCCCCCATGTATCTTTTCCCTGGAGACAGCGTGACCGCAGGATGAGGGCAGCAGTGCCTCGCTGGCTGCCAAGAGAGTAGGCTTGCTAGTGGGGACTGAATGCAATGGAACAGTCCCAGCTGTCGAAGGGCAGCACACCTGCACAGATAATAATATTACTATAAAATATATTTATATACATAAGAATAAGTTATAATTTGGGCCGATACCCCAACAATAGCATGCTTCATCTGGAGTTTTACTTGCAGCTGGGAGATGTTGAACCAATATGTTGAACTTTTAGTAATGAATACTATTATCTAGTGATGATTACTTTAGCAGGATTACTTTATAAATGTTGCAATGAGTCAATATGAAAAATTATATTGAATTTCTGCTAATAATATACAGAGCTTTTGTATGACATAATCCAGCTGTGTCATACTATACACATGAAGTGAATAATAAAATGCAGGAGTCTGATTTGTAGTTAGATAAAAAATGGCTATGGGCATTTGCACCAAAGATTGAATCAGAAAAAAATTGGACCTATGCGGCATAAATAATCAGACCTTCATAAAAGTTCACAACAAAAATCTGCCAAGAATTTTATGCTCTCAAAAATGATATTTAAGAGACACGAGTTCTGCTCAATCGCTCATATCTGTGATTGCTCTGTATGTTGGTACAATAGCTGCAAGTGTCACCAAGAAATATTATACATAGTGCATACTTGGAAGCATTAATCGTCTATTGCACCTGAACATTTGCGATATATAAATGAAGCTAATTCATACTACAATGTTACTTTACCAACACGATGTTTGGCAAATAACTTCATGTTTTTTTCCGTACAAGCGTTGCAGTCAACCACGTACAATAAAGATTGAATTATTTCAGGCCACAATCAGTGACCTTATCCCACAGGACAAAATATTAAAACAACTGACACATAACGCAACAATAATTAATTACGTTATTAATTTATGTTGATCAATTATCCTTTGTGCAACAAACGGTACATCACACAATATAATTTAATTATCCTTAGAACATTACCTTTGCTCTCCTTTTTTCGAACCCACAAGTCAGAGACCGTAATCTGTCCAATCTGCTCACAGTTAGATGTCTTAACAATGCCTGCAGTTCAGCCTGAAGTTCAGGACACCGTGCCAGGAGGAGGCATGCAGAGCCTCTCTCACAACCTGGGTTCATTGGTCCATATTGATGTACTTTTTTATTTCAAGAACATACTTATAAAAATAAATGCCAAAATAAGTTTGCTAAGATGTAAGATCACATTTTTTTTCAACTGAAGATCAGACAAATAGAGACAGATACAGCAAAAAGTTTATGATGATTTCATCTTGATTTAGTTTTCGATTTTAAAATCAGACGTGTAGAGATAGATTAAGTAAGAAATATGATGAAATGTGTTAAGGCGTTTACACTATTACACAATGTACACTGAGTACAAAGAAAGTGTAATATTGAAGAAATCAAAGAAATAAGAAATTTCCTAGTACAGAAATTTCCTAGTAGGTAGACAACAATGTTTCAGTATTAAAGGAACTGTATTATGCAGACTGAGAAACAGTGAGCAGTGGCATGCCACAAAGAAGCGTTCTTGGGCCAGTTTTGTTTTTTGCTTTTATAAACAATCTACCAGAGGTAGTGTCAAGCGTGTGCTCAATGTATGCATATGACACATTAGTTTATAATACAGTTAAGGATCCTTCAAATAAAGTGCAATTGCAAGATGATCTTGAATGTTTAGATAACTGGGTTGATACTTGTCAGCTGCACTTTAATGCTGACAAGTGTAAAGTACTTCACGTTGTGAATAACAATGAACAGCAAGCTTACAGTATGAGAAGACTTGGTTGCCAAGAGAGATTAATGATTGAAAGGTCCAGAGTGGAAAAAGATTTGGGAGTTGACAAAGAGCTTAAATTTTCTAGGCATATTGAAGGGCAATCTAATAAATCCAATAAGATTTTTGGATAGATCAGATGCCCTTACAAGTTCCTAGATGCAGAAACGATAAAGCTTTTGTTTGTTGCTCCTGTGCGCACAAACCTAGAGTTTGGAAACGCTGTGTGGTCACCGAAAATTAAAAGGACAAAAACTTAGTAGAGAGTGTTACAAAGACTGGCAACAAGGATAATTCCAGGCTTGAAGGGAAAGTGTAACCAAGAAAGATAAAAGATTCATGAAACTTCTAAGCCTCTGTTATCCACACATCTGTGTGTGTGGATAACCTCATGTGGTCATAACCTCACCTCATTATCTGTGTGGTAACCTCATTGAAGTATACTCATGGTTTATACAAGGTCTCAGATGTATTACTATAATTTTAAACAGGAACAACACCAGGGGGCACATCTATAAATTACTTCTATAATACTATTATAATAATTACACTTACTATAATAACACTTCTTCTTGCTTCAAGTCACTGACATGTGGAACAACCTCCCTGATTACATTGTTGACAATAAGAGCATGAATGCGTTCATGAACAAATTAGATAAAGCTTTGGATAAATATATGTTCAGACTTGAAATGCCTAGCACCATCTCAAACCTGGTGGAAGTCTAGTAGCTATATCAAACTATTGTCAGTTTTCAAAAGATCAGGTCAAAGGAACTGTTTTTATATCTCATGTGAACAAGTCACAATAAGTACAAGAATCGGCAAAAGGCCAAATCAGGCTTATTCTTCAGTGCCAATATCACTACAATATGATATGATATTACATGATATGAATGTATAGAAGACAAGGTAATGAATAGTGAAACAAGAGATGCATTCCAGCATGTGGGCCTGGCAAACAATGATAGGTTTTGCATCTTACAACCCAGTCAAATTTTTTCATTAAAAACATAATAGACATTATAGTTAAATGACTGCTTCAAATAAGAATTAATTAGAAATAAAAGAGTGAAGAAAGTTCAGCATAAAAGTGATAAAATTAATGAAAGATTTGTCATAAAGATAGATTCTCTTGGATCAGCATGCTGAAGTACATTTATTACAGCAAAATTTGATAGTAAAATTGGAAGCTTATTTGAAACAAATGTAACTAAATTAGACTAAGAGTAAATATATCATCTCTAATGACTGTTTTGCAATATGATATGTCATCTATAAATTCATTAGATTTATTTATGCATCACATTGTTGCCGGGTCTAAAATGTCTCGTGCCGTAGGTGAGATAAACCTGTTATCTGCTTATTTAACTAACAGCCAACAACCCTACTCTGAATGAAGGAGAATGAAAGACTGGTTCTAATAAATTGAACTAAAATATGGGACAGTAAATAAACACATAACTTAATAAAATTGCAAATGAAATGGTTGTTTTAATTTGTAAAGTGTAGTGAAAGTGAGCTACTTAGTTGCATATAAGGAGCATGGACAGGTGGAGATGAGTAGATTCAACTGCAAACAGAAAGAACAGAATAAAAATGCAAATCATGAATGACTGATAACCTGATGGGATGTAGAATGTAAACAAAGCAAGAACCATTAAACTCCATAAAACTAGTAGCAGCTCATCTCCATATTGTGAACTTATCTTTAAAACTAATAAGTACTCAAACGAGGAGTGAATTGAAAAGAATCACAAGAGAACAGAAAAATAAAGGAACACTGCTAGATGAATTGTGAACATGACTTGCTGGAAGTAATTATAACCATAATCCAATATAATAAATTAACTTCTTCAACTAACCATATCAGTCAGAGATGAACACAAACACAGTAAAATGCAAGGGAACACAAGAAGTTGATATCAATGAAATTAGCAAAATAACAAGGACAACTTAACCTAAATTATCAATGAATAAATGATATAAATTTATATGCCACTCACCAATGCAACTGAGTGCCCAGGCTGAGATACTGAGTAGGAATCCAAATACTTAAAGAGTGATAATTCAAGTTTGCAAATTATACTTTGGTCATCTACACTGAAAAAGATAAAAATATTGAATTTAATTTAAATTGAGTTGGATTGAGAACTGAAGAAATATGATAATATTAGTAAAGAAAGACATGAAGGTTGGGCTACACAGTAGCCTAATTTAACCTCCAGTAACAACATCAACAAATGACTCAGTAATTCATACTTTATTTTCAATCCAAAAACATCTTCAATGCTCAGAAAAATAAGTACTTGATGTAAATGGATGCAATAAACCTCTGCTATTTACCTTGTCCTGTAAGTCTCGTGGTGCTAGAGGAGCCGTGCGCACCACACGACATCGCCAGCAGCAGCACAGCAGTGCAGTGCAATGTGACATTCATTGCACCACATCTTAAGATAATTACTCCCATTATTCAGTTACCATGTAATTAATTATTACATCTGCAGTGAAAATAGAAATGGTTGAGAGACCTAATTTTTTCAAACTGGAACTTTTTTTGCAGATTTGCCTACCAAAAAGTCCACTAAAATTTAGTTTTGAACAAATCCTAATCTAAAGCTTGCTTCAAGTAGTATTATCAAAGCATTCAGAGTCCTGTTTGTAGGGTCAGATCAGCAGTAGCCTTCTAGATCAGAAGTAACTTCTAGAAGAGAAGTATCTTTTCAGATCAAAAGTATCTTTCAATCAGAAGTAGCCTTCTAGATCAGATTTATGCTTCTAGATTAAAAGTATCCTTTTATATCAGAATTATCCATCTAGATCAAAAGCATTCTTCTAGACATGGCCAAAAAAATAACTTTAGCTGTCTTGTTGGAAATCGAGATTACGGTATTGCTGACAGATGCTACACAGTATTATCGGGGGAGCAAACAGGGAATTGTGTTATTCCAACAAATGTTAAAGATTTTACACCAAGAGTTGTTTGTAAACTTCAAAGTAGACCTGCAAAATTCTTCATCATAACCTAAGATATTGTTACAGGGGGCATAATTAAGCTAGGTTTTAGCACATCCCTTACTGCCTTCTCCCATTTAGCTGATTTTAACCTATTTGATGTATTCATTATTAATTAACAATGCCATGTATTCTCTTATCTCGTTCCAGCATCAATTTATTTTCCATTACCAGTGTCATTGCCTTGATGTGAAGCTGTGGTAATTTGTCTGATCAATTGGGAAGTCAGAAGGCTATTATTACTAGTTAGAAGGACTATTGCCTAGGTGAGTTCACTGATGATGATGTTGTTACCGGAGGTTTAATTAGGCTACTGTGTAGCCCAACCTTCATGTCTTTCTTTACTAATTATCATATTTATTTAGTTCTCAATCCAACTCAATTTAAATTAAATTCAATATTTTTATTCTTCCAGTGTAGATGACTAAAGTACAATTTGCAGACTCAAAGTAAAGTATCATTCTTGAAGTATTTCTACTCAGCCTGGGCACTCAGTTACACTGGTGAGTGGCATAGAAATTTATAGCATTTATTCATTGATAAATTAGGTTAAGTTGTCCTTGTTATTTTGCTAATTTCATTGATATTAATTTCTTGTGTTCCCTTGCATTTTACTTTGGTTGTATTCATCTCTGACTGATATGGTTTAGTTTGAAGAAGTTAATTTATTATATTGGATTATGATTATATTATAATTAATTCCAGCTAGTTATGTTCACAATTCATCTTGCAGCATTATCTCCACCTGTCCATGCTCCTTTCATTCAATTAACCAGTGCATTTTCATTACACATTCTAAATTAATTCAATCCTTACATCCAATTCACTAGCATATTTTCATTACACATTTCAAATTAAAACAACCATGTCATTTGCAATTTTATTAAGTTGTGTGTTTATTTACTGTCCCATATTTAAATTCATTTTGCATTAGAACCAGTCTTTCATTTTCCTTCATTCAGAGTAGGGTTGTTGCCAGTTAGTTAGAAGTAGATAACAGGTTTATCTCACCTGCGGCGCGAGACATTTTAGACCCGGCAACAATGTCCCTTCAGGCTAATGGTAAGATGATGCTAAGTGTCTGAGCATCACTGTCTTGCTTAAGTCTTTCTTACTCAAGCTTCATTTTCACAATTTTCAATAGAGGCTTTTGGTTCTTAATTTAACTGTTGTCATTGCAATGTAATGTTTTTCTGAATGTACATTTTGTTATGTTCTGGTATTATGTGTTTATTTAGTCTGTACCAGCTATTCTGTCATATGTTTGTGATGCTTTTCTAAAGTGCCGATATGATTCATTAACATTTTTAGTCAAGTTATATTATTTGTTCAGTTAATTATCTACAGTCATTAAGTTCAGAGTTTTAACCTTGAAATCTTGATTTGTTCATTGTACCTTCATTGACTATGATTCTGTTTTCTGTTCCACTAATTAATGCTTCAAGCATGTTTATTGTCTTAATTGGCATGATGGCCATGAATGGTTAAATTACCTTAAAATATTTCTCATGTTCCAAAGCATTGTCACGAGTGTTGCCAATTTAATTCCTGTCAATTAATTTTAGTTATGCTTTTCAGTTAACTGGCACACGAACCACCTCCACCTGCCCATGCTCTAATTTCTAGTACACTTTTAGAATCCACTACACATTCGCAATCCACACATTACTTTTATTAGTCATTAATACCCTTAGAGTTTGTTTTGTACTTGAGTCGCGTGTTTTGGTTAGTTTTGTACAAGATCCCTTAATTAATTTTATAGAGAAATTGTTTCATTATCCATTCACTTAGATAGTTACCTCTAAATTCATAAGCAGACAACTAGTTTGTCTCACCCGCTAGAGACACATGGTAACAATGCCTCTTTCAATCTCATACCTTTATAAACTACATAAGGTGGAAGAAGCTCCCCTGAAGCGGTACCTGCAAACATCACTGAATAGCTGGTCTTGCTGAAATTCATCACCCTCTCAGGGTATTTAATCCGTTGCCTGAAGATCATCTGGGACTTCCCAGGGTCGTTGGTGAAATTTGTCTCATGGTAGTTTATGATATTCGTGTCAGGCACGCCTTGCAGCACATGGGCAATGGTGTCAAAAAACTTGTTGATGACTTCAGTTGAGATCTCTGCCCTTTTTTTTGGTGATATTCTGACACATTCTTGTAGAGAGCAAGTGCTTGTATTGGGCAATAAAATTATTAACCCAGTCAATGCCAGGCAGATTGTTTTTGAAGGTGGTGACCTTCCTGCCACTCTTATTCAAGAAGTCCCTTACAATCATTCGTATCTCAGGATGGGTCAGAGGGCACCCCCAATCAGCCAAAACAACTAGGTTTTGGGCGATGATTCTTTCTTCATGCACAAGAAGTGATGTTGCGTGCCCCATATGAAGAAAGTCATGAGTTGCATTCCCTGCAGTCCTGCGTTTTCCAACATATCTATGCAGTGTATTTCGAGGCACATTATGTATTTGCGCTGCATCTCTAATGGATATGCCATCGACAATTACACTGTCTACTGCCAGCTTGATATCAGCAGTTGTACACGATATCCTTTGTACAAGTTTCCCTGTGGGCTTATAATGTCTCACCATTTTAATAGGCTCAAGTGAATTTTCTATAAGAGAAAAAGATCATAAAAAACCTGAAAAATAAAGGGATCATTTAGAAACAAGCATTATATTTTTGGAGAAATAGATCATAATTTAGGTAATGTATTTTTCATTCTATGTTGCCCGGTGCACAATTCTGGCTACGAAATGAGAATTCTTATTTACTGGAGCCTTTACTAACCAAGGTCATGCTGTGAATGTGTTTTTGGGGGTGTCCCGAATAGCCCCGGGGTGGTGTCCCGCGTAGCCCTGCCATGCAGAAATGGCTGCCATTTTTTTAATGAGATAGGCAAATTCCGTCATTTACGTTTTCAAGCCGACACCTGGGTGCAACTTTTATCTAAGTAAAATTTTTTAATATGGCAAATTTTTTTTTTCTCCAGACCATAGCAGAAGTAACTTTTCAAAATAGCATTTTTCACCATTTTTTTCAGTAATTTTTCAAAGCTAGTAAATGTAGTATTTTTTTACTTCCTTTATCCTACATAGATAGGAAAAATGTTGACATTTACGCCACTATATTTAGTTTTGCAATATTCCAATTAGTTTTGCTACTAAAAGTTTTATGCCGTGTCGGAGGACTGTCCCGAGTTACCCCGCCAGTCCCGAGTAGCCCCGGTTGACGGTATTTCATTTCCTGCCATGCTCTCAGGACAGCACAATATTTTTAGATACCACTTCATGAACAGGTAATCAAATCTGACCTCCAGTGGAGGTATATGGGCTTCAATCTCCAAAGATGATATAGGAGAGGTGTTGCAAGCTCCAAGTACAATTCTTAGTGCACTGGACTGAATTACTTTGAGCTTCTTTGAGTGTTTTGATGCAATATCATCAAGTCTGAACAATATGCAGCCATACTCAAGCTTGCTGCGAATGAAACTTATGTATACCTGCCGGAGTAAGTCTTGATGCACCCCAGCTGCTACCCGAGAGGGCTCGTAGAGGCGCTAGTCTGCACACACAATCATTTTTCAGATGTGCAATGTGTGCCTGAAAAGTGAGCTTAGGGGCATCAAAGAGGATGCCCAGAACCCTCTGCACAGGCACATGCGCAATGGCATGGTTAGATATGAGGATATTTACAGGTGGCACATTACATTTTCTTGTGAAAAGTTGAAGAGAACTTTTTAATTGGTTGATAGTAAACTGCCATTTCTTAAGCCAGATATCTAGTGAATATAAATAGCATTGCATAATCTGCTGAGCAGATCCCAGTGTCTGAGACCACAGCTAATGTGATGTCGTCAGCATATGAGAGGACTCTCACTCGTGGGGATTTAGGAAGATCACTCATCAATAAGTCATCATTATGTTGAAAAGTGTTGGGGAAAGAACTGCACCTTGTGGGAGCCCCCTACTTAGTGTTTGCCTCTCAGAAAGGCAGTTACCAATCTGCACAGAAGTACTTCTGTTTTTCAAGTAGTGATATATCCATCTAATTAGTTGTGGTTCCAACTCCAATTATCATCTTGTAGAGCAGACCATGGTGCCATACACAGTCAAAGGCTCCTTGTATATCCAGGTAGACAACCAAACTATATTTTCCACCTGTTGTTGCCTGTCTGATAATGTGTGTTTGAACAGCCAGGAGGTCAGTTGTACTTCTACCACGACGGTAGCCTGTTTGAGTGGCTGGAAACGTGTTTCTTGATTCAATATGATGATCAATTCTTTTTTTAATTATTTTCTCCATGAGTTTTCCTATGCAGGACAGCAAAGCAATGGGTCTATAGGATTTGGTCTGAGCTAGATTCTTACCTGGCTTTAGTATTGGGCATATGACTCCCCTTTTCCATGCAGCTGGCACAACTCCACAAACAAAGCTAGTGTAAAATAGGTTGAGAAGTTCTATTTTGATGTAGTCTGAGCTCCTCATTAAAAAAGTATTTGCAATAAGATCATCTCCTGGCGAAGTGTTCCTTGATGATTGGATACCCCTCTGGAGCTCATGGAAACTGATGTCAGGGCATTGTGGTGTGCCAGCACATGATACTATATATACACTCTCAACGCTGTTGATCACTTCCTCATCTGCTGCCCAATCCTCTGCAGAAACACAGCCATGAGTGAATTGTTCCAGAAAAAGTGCAGCTATTTCCTCACTTGTTGTGTGTTGGTTGCCAAATGCCAATAGGAAAGTTTGTTGAGCCTTGCTTCCCACTAATGCTCTTAATTGCTTGCCACACCCTTGATGTAGGAGTAGTACTTCCTAGAGACTCTGTGAATTTGGTCCAACTCTCTTCTTTTTCAGAGCCATATGTTTGGCAAACGCAATGCATCTTTTGTAGGAAATCAGGTTTGCAAGAGTAGGATGACTGCAAAGTTTGTTTTTTGCTCTTTTTCTGTTTGCAACAGCAGTTCTACACTCTTGGTCCCACCATGGTGTGGTTCAGTGACACCGTCTAGAGCCAGACGTCCTTGGAATGCAGTCTTTAGCTATGTTAATGATCTTGTTGGTGATGCATTGGTTTAGAGTATCAACATCTAGTGGGGCAAGCATGTCTGATAGGGGTTCTCTGTCTTGGGTGGTCCATGGGGCCAACTGGGCCAAACAATGTGGTCCATTTGGCCCAGTTGGCTTGTTTCATAACCCAGTTTTGTCAGAATTGATGCTTTGCTTGGCACATCCAAAGCCAAAAGTTTTCTCCATGGGGAAGTGGTCACTTC